TTTCTCCTAAAAGAGCAACCTTCGGTGAGTCTAGCCCTACCACCAGTGGGTTGGCATAGAACTGTCTGGCAGTTGCCACACACCACAACAGTTTGAGAATGACTAAAAACAGTGGTTCTGCATCACCCCACACACACAAAAAAAAACAAACAATTTGAGACATACAATAAGTCTTAATTAAATTCAAAAAGCCTATTCAACAATACCATATTACTTACATGTTGAAGCATCCTTGACATTTCACATCCTTGATGAAATTGCAAAAGAAAAATAAATATGACTTTGTCAGTCAATTAAAACTTAATTATAGAAACATAATAAGAACCAAAAATATTGTTAGTTACTGCTACTGAAAAGCACTTTAGAAGATTCCAAAACCAACATAGATAGATATATACCATGAAAAATGAATTAGGAGACTGAACAAGACGCTTGAGTTTGTGCTTCTTCTTCTCAAGCTCGGCTGGAGGGTTCAAAAGATCAATATCATTTTGGAGAACCTAAGAGAGAAGATTTCAAGAGCAAAATCAGGACGCATAATAATAATAATAATAATAATAATAAAAGAAGGGGGGGCGGGGGAGGGCGCAATAGAATGCCTATATATCATATGGAGTTCTCCGTCTTACAGATAAGACTTTATTTGATATAAATATAAAAGACTTGAAAAGAGCAAAATCAGAATACATGCATCTAACAAAATGTTAGCATATTATATTAATATTAAAAGGAAGGCCAAGACCTATTTCACGCATATCCATCATATTATACATTTATAATTTAATAGATAAAAAGCACCTAAAAAGGAAGTAGGATAGGATAGGATATGGGTGCAGGGAAATTCAGCTTCAGCTTCAGCTTATAGAGACAATTGTTCGGGTTGTTGGTGCAAGACTTTCCTTGGATGTCTAGCAACCAAACAAAAAGGATGGATTCCATGGCATAAAGAAAAAAAAAATATAAATAAATAAATTGAAAACACACAGCTAACAATATGGGCCTACTTTAATAATATATATATATGGATGGAGGTATGAAATGAAATCAATCGTAATTAATAAAACAAACGGCAGATTTCCGATTCC